GGGGGAGAGGGGGAGAGGGACGGGGGAGAGGGGAAAGAGGGACAGGGGAGAGGGAGAGAGGGGAGAGAGGGACCGGGGAGAGAGGGAGAGGGACCGGGGAGAGGGGAGAGAGGGACCGGGGAGAGCGCGGACCCTGGAGGGAGCGGGGAGAGAGAGAGAGGGACTGGGGAGAGAGGGAGAGAGAGAGCTGGGGAGAGAGAGAGGGGGGAGAGGGGGCCAAGGGACAGAGGGGGACAGAGATCCGGGGGGCCAGCAGGACACGGAGCATTTGGCACACGGATCCCCCGCTCTGCCGCCGGCCCCCCCAGTCCAGGAGCTCCAGCCCCAGATCCTCCATGGGGATCGATCACAAAAGTTCCAGAGACCCACACTACCAACAAAAAGCTATGATGTTGGAGAAAAATCACAGAAGACAAAATATAACACTTTATTAAAAATTAGTGTTCTATTTTTCCTTTTAATGCACTCATGAAACACTTTAATCAACAGATAATTGATTAATTACTGAATTAACTAGGTACTTTGTCTGTAAAACTGACCCTTAAAAGTTAGACATGAAAATAAAACAAAGACTGAACCTCTAAGAAAATAACTTGATCCCAGAATGTCAGTTTAAACAAGATCAGCAATCATATTTGTTATCCACTGGATATAAAATATCACAGAAATCCAAAAGAATGCTTTACTCTCAATAAACAATTAAGTGTCAGCCACCCTGTGAGGTAGGGAAGGGTCTCACTACCGTTCCACTGGATGAGAAGGGACACAGATCCAGAAAACAGAGCCTGCCGTCTGTCCCTGAGGGAGGATGGAGCTGGACAGGGCTCCAGGCACACCTGAGCTGTCCCACGGCACAGGGAGGGCGGCTGGGGACCAAACGCCACGGATTGTCTCAGAACACCTCACTGTGGAAGGCAGGGGCTGCTGGGCAGACCCACCCAGTTCAGGTGTATGTCAGCACTGCCTGGAGAGAATTCTGTCTGAAAATTAAAAACCTGGAGAAGAACAAAATCAAACCAAGCCCACAGCAAGCAATGCCCGTTCAAACACAGCTCTCGGTGGCAGCACGGCCCCTCCAACACCCTCCATGTCCATCACTTATTTTCTATTTTAACCAAGACATGCACAAGATAAAAGTCACTGGAGTGGAACATTGCAGCAGGATAAATGTCTCCCGTTCACAAACCAGAACGCCAAGGTGCAGGTTAAGCAGTGACTTCAGTCTGGGCGCTGACCGGGGCTGGCACCCAGCCCTGCAGAGCTCTCTGCTGTGACACGCTGCCCAGTAACACCCACCTGGAGCTCCTTCCAGCAGCCACGTTCACACAGCTAACACCCACCTGGAGCTCCTTCCAGCAGCCACTTTCACACAGCTAACACCCACCTGGAGCTCCTTCCAGCAGCCACGTTCACACAGCTAACACCCACCTGGAGCTCCTTCCAGCAGCCACATTCACACAGCTAACACCCACCTGGAGCCTCCCTCCTGCAGAGGGCCGGGGCTGCTTTGGGAAACAGCCCACAGCCCTTTGGCACAGGCTGGGCACGGAAAGGAAAGGCTCCCATTGCTCCCTCCGCCTGCCAGGGCAGAGTCTGAATGCATAAAGATTTGATTAAAATCAGGAGTGAAGAACATGGTGAGTCCTGTTACAATTCACACCCTACAAGTGGGGCAAAAAGGCTCTTTTTTCTCCCAAAGGCTACTCCAAATTCCCAGGTACACCATTAATGCAGCCACCAGTGATGGTCTGGGTGGAAGCCAGTACAAGTCTCAACTTGCAGACTAACACCTATAATTAGAAACCTGTATTGTCTTAATCTGTGCTTAATTTGAGCAGAGAGCCTTGGAGAGCTCACTGCAAACCCAATGCTGCCTTTAGACGGCACCATCCTGCTCACTGCTGCTGCTTCTGCACTACACTGGCTGTAAACTCATGTTCTAGAATGTCTAGAACATTCCTGTCACAATAATTAATAGTTTTCAATGATGTAAAGACTGATTAAGGTGATAATACAAAGCATGTGATACATCTCAACTCCAGTACTTGAAATGATCAGAACCTGGTGCGACAGAGACTGGACCAGGGCATGATTTTGGGGCAAGGAGATTCAGTGGCACCCTGTGCTGGAGCAGCTCCAGACAAACAGGACTCAGGAGAAACTCCAGGGAAATGAAAAGGATATCTGCACATCTTTTAAACATGCATAGCTGCTGACAGTTCTTACTGATACATTTCACAAACACCAAGAAGATCCTTTGCCCTTGGTAAAAGATTCTCACAATCCAGATGGTTCTTAAAACTGTTTGCTTCCCAGGTTAATTAATCTAAATCCAAATCAGAAATTAATACTACTTGTTGGCTGTGGGAAATAGGGAAACGAAAGCTAAACCAAAACACAGGCTTTTCTTACAGTGTAACAACTCACAAGTTGGATCCATGTTGTTAATGAATCCTGTGAGTACAAAAACCCTCTGGAGCAGCAGACAGATCTGACTCTTTCACACACTCTTTCCCACATCTGTCCTCCCCAGAAAAAATAAAAGCAAATATGACATTTTTCTGCTTATAACTTCATTTAAACACAGTTTTGCAAGGCTATCAGCATCACTTACTCTGTTAACATTCACTACGATACTAACAAGAAGAAAAAAATATAAATCATTTGCCAAGAAACAGAAGTGCCACGTTTTTTAAATGGCATTAGCCTTTGTTACAAGAGAGAAAAAGCACAAGATAATAACTTGAAGCTATTAGATGCAGCACAAAGACCCCATCACTGCAGCCTCTGCTGGTGCCTTCTAATTAAATAGCATCACTGGAGGGAAAGAGTTTTAAAAAACCACATCACACTCTAGCAGAATTAGAGAGGCAAGAAAATCCTGGAAGTCTGTTAGTGTTTTCTTACTAACCCACAACACTTTAATTTTCAAAAACCTGAATGGATGCAAATAATTTTTTGTTCCCTCCCCTGTTCTATTACTCCCAAAGCATCTACATCTCAATTTTCCTTATGAACTCCCTGCATTAAGTTTGGATTATTTTCTTGCCAGGCTTTTGTAGTAATTTTCTTTAAATGTCACGGGTAGATTTGGCACTGGTCAAAGCAGTTCAAGGCTGACCACTGTGGAATCTGGAGCTCCATGACTGAGGACAATATGGGAACACAAAGGCAGCTGTGGAATATATCCAAAACATCCCCGGCTCCCAGTGGGCAGCCAGCAGGAATAACCATGACAGTGGCAGAACTGCTACTGACAACTAAAAAATACAAGCAAAAGTTTAAAAATATGACAATGGTTTTTCACACTAAACTTGAAACCGTTTCCAGAAAATTTCCAGACATTTCTAAATTTTCAAATTTCCAATTTTACTCCCACCTCCTGAAGTGCCCTGTACAATCAGCACCAGCCAAGCACTCATAAAGAAGTGATTATTTCAGTTTAAAATCCAGTATAAGCCACCTCTCTCCTGTGCCTAAAGCCTCTCACAGTTCCATGCTTGAACAATATTTTCATGGCTGTTTTACTTCTTCAACTTCTACACTCTAGAAGGGATTCAGGACACAGAACTTGAATTCACATATTCTAGCCTTAGAAAACACTGTTTAGCCTGTACTTCTCCAGCCACTCCAGCAATTTTTCCCCCACTGCTTGAGAAATTTAACATTAAATAGCACTTTTAGGACACAGGAAGAGAATAATGTAAAACAAATTCCCCAGATTGCCCTTCTTTATATAAACAGGATTTCACCGTGACAAACCTCAACGAGGGCAACAGTGCCACAATCTGCTCAAGTTTGCTTACTTCAGGTTTCTTCCCTCACCATACCCATTTCCCCCTCTCCCAGGACCTGTACATTTACATTTTCAGAGATTTCAATTTTTCACATGGAGAGGCTGATGACTTGATTCTTACCACTTTGGAAGAGCTTGCCTTGGAATCAATGAGTTCTAAAGACACTATCCTGGAACACAAACCTTTGAGGTGTTCTGGGGACAGGGGTGGGAGAGCACAGGTGCAGCTGACTGGCCAGCCAAATGTTTCTCCTGGGGGTTATCCCATGTAGGGTCTGCCAAGAGCAGCCACATTCAAGTTCTCTCTTCAGTATCTTGATTTAATAACTGCAAGTTCCACTAGACAAGGCCCTTAAAGGGGAGCTGTCCAGAAAGAGCTTTTCAAACCTCCCCACCTCACTCAGAAAGAGCAGCGCTGCTCATGGCAAGGGGGAAACTGGCAAATCGTTAGATAGGAAAAGCAACCACAAACTGAGAACCAGCGTCCCACATCCCCCTCCCCAGCAGGAAGAGGGGCCAGCCTGCAGGGAAAGCACCAGGTGCACAACTCACACCTCAGTTCTCCAAGCCCTCGGCCTTTAGTGCTGCTTTGTGCACGCAGTGCCCGGGGCCGAGGCGCCCCAGAAATCGGTGTCCAGGGATGCCCCGCTCCTGCCCAAGGTCGAGCACGAGCCGGAGCAGCCCTGAGGAAGCAGCACAGCTAGTGGCCGAGCTGGCGGTCGTCGTAGGTGCTGTATCTCTTGACGTGGATGCGGCGCACGCGGTCGCGCAGCTCGAAGCCCTCGTCGTCCTCGCTGTGCGAGGCCTGGCTCCGGCTGCGGCTCGTGGCCTCCAGCAGCGAGTTATCCGGGACTCGGGGCGTCTCGTACAGCAGGACGTTTAGTGTTTCCTCGTAAATTCGTGCCTCAGGGAACTCAACCTACAAAAAGGCAGCACATGTCCTGCTCCTCATCCATCCAGGACAGCAACTGGAACACACACCCACACGTGAAAAGGTGCTGAGCCATAAACCCACACATTATAAAGAGTAAAAAATTGCTGGTAAGGGATGACTCCCACCACCAGGTCACTCCCTCACCTGATGTTTTAGATTGCTCTAAAGGGGATAACTATCTCCAGTTGTTAACATTGGACTCTAGTAACCTCAGCTGCAGCGCTGCAAATTCAAAGTTAACTCCTGAAGTTAGAGAAACTCTGCAGACTCCTGAAGCTAACCACGACCGTTTCTAACCCGTAGCACAGGCAGGTGAAGCTCCATTACCTTGGTTTGCTTCTTCTCCGTGGCGTAGACGATGGAGGTGCAGCAGACCTCGGCCAGCTTGCGGCCCTGCCCGTAGAAGGACCAGCAGCAGATCTCGTCCCCGATCACGTCCTTGATGAACAGCACCCGGCCGTTGAACCGCAGGGACAGCTTGTCAAACAGCTCGATGTTCTTCAGCAAGTTGTCATCAGAGTTACTGAAACACAGCAACAAAAGCAGGAACAGGGCTTTTCATGCACCCATCTCTGCCTGTTCTGCCAGCTTTCAGCACTGATCCAACTGCAGAATACAAATAAGTAGTGACTCACTGCTGCATGCTGCCAAGAAAAGAGGGGTAATAGCCCATTTCAGATACTAACACACTGCTCTAACCCTATGAGCAAACACACCAGCCTTTAGAGATCAACTTACACAATTAATAAGGACAGCATAATGTCCCAAACTATTACATCAACTATCCATGCTCGAGATTATCAAATCCCACTTCAGTGAAGTTCTCTGGCTTGATGACAGCAGAAGCCTAGTGTGTGCTGCAAGGGCCATGTGCTCCGCATCCTTCACACCACAGACACACTGCCAGCATGAACACATTATTTAAAAAATAAATTTTATTGACAGACATTCAATGTAGGACCCTAATTACTTTTCAAAGCAAGATACAGTTGTCAAAACCCAAAACAAACCAAAAGAAGTGAGGTTAGATCATCATCATTGTCCACTCCCATAGTAAAAAAGCAACTTTCCCACTAAAGTGCGAGGGAAAAAAGAAGGGACATACCTGGTGTAGGAGTATTTATTGTTGCTTCTATTATGCAGCAGTTTAACAACAGGCTGTTGGGAGTGAGAAAAGAAGAAAAGGTAAATTCCACGTTTCAACACATTTAGCATAAATCCACAGTTGATAAGAGCAGTTACTTTCATTGATGACTCTATCAGTCTCTCCTCTTCTTTCGGTGAGGTGATAATAGGGATGCTGCAGACAGGTTCATACAAGTCTTTCTTGTCCTGTTTTAATGAAAGAAGAAAGAGAGGAAATAAGAGAGGAGTGCTAAAGCTGACATTGCTGCTGCTGCCTCCTTCAGCCCCTCCAGCCATGTTCCCAAACGCTGTGATGCACAGGAAAAGAGCTGGGTTGCTACAGTAACCACACAGCTTACCTTGATCTGCAACCCAGAATCACAGCAGAGATTTCTTATCCCCGGAAGGCAGCAGTAATTGAAATATTGAGATGCAGGTGGATGTCCTCAGCTATAGCGAGGACAAGGTCTAGTCATACTTGGTTTAAGTGGGTTTAATATTCCATCCTTTCTTGAAGAAAAGAAGGAGTCTGCAGTAGTTTTAATCAACTCAAACCACTGCACAAGAGCATCAGCCACTGTGAACTGAACACTTAGCAGAACAGGATGTCACCAACATGAGCCAGCCCTCAGGGACACAGAGCCAAGTGTGGCAAGGACAGGCCATGCCCCCAGATCCCTCACCACCTATTTACTAAATTGTATTTTAAAAATGCCTTGTACACTTCAGAATTGGTGCCATATCTAAGGCCATGAAATAATCTCTCAAGTTGTCCTAACTAAATTTTATAAGCAAAACACCCATGAAACACTTCACAGGATACTTCTGATCTTACCTGCAGGGCTGCTTGGCACATGTCCACCAAGCCCTGGATGAGATAGTATTTGGCTTCTGCCATCAACGCTTTGATCTCCTGCCTGTGTTTTGGAAGTGCAATTGTGTCATCTCTGAGATAATTTAAAATTGTTCCGAAGTGCTTCCCACAACGGTCTATAAGGATCCAGCCTGAAAAATAACCAACACCTTTCAGTCACCTCAACACTGGAGGCTTGAAAAAGCTCCCTGGAGAGGTTAAACAACACTGAGGTTTCCTGATACTGCTCAGGACACTTTTCCCGTTTCACCCAGTGGAAGTCCCTACTGCCTTTGAGCAAACTGAAGTTGGTTCCAGAACAGAACCTGACAGTGGAGCTCCTTTAGTATTGCCCAGATGTTCCCACTGCTTTCCAGCACCCCAAAAGCAAAGCTCCAAGCGAAAAACATGCAGCTTCCACCACAATGCACTGAGATTGCTGCAGGAACCCAACTGCAGTGCTACACTGTGATGCTGGGCAGTCAGCAACCTCAGAGCCAAGGAAAGACTAGAAGAGAGAATTCACCAATGACTGCAACAAGTAAATCTGGGTAAGTTCTGTGGCCTAACAAGGAGGATTTGGCAATTATCCAAACACAACTGCTGCTGCTGTTTGGAGGTAAAAAGAGAGAGAAATGTTCTGAAGATGATAAAAGGCAGATCAGCCCAGAAAACCCAGCGTGGGGGGGTAAAGTTGTTCTAGTCCCCAAACAGGAGCAAAGAACAGGACAGACAGATCAGGAGGAAGCACAGAAGGGATGAAGCAGAGGAACAGTAGCAAATGGACAAATTCTTGGAATTTTACAAAATCCCTGAAGTAACATTCCTTAAGGAAACAGGATGTCTGATTGCTGCCAAACAATAGCAGTGTAGGATCAGGCAGGCACAAGGCTTAGTACGGTGCCAAACCCTTTCCCATAACGTTGAAGGCAGGAAAAAAGTGTTACTTTGGAATCTAGGTACAGAAAACAACCTAGGAAAGTAAGCTAAACCCCTGTTGGACCCTCCAGCTGGAGCTGTCAGAACATAACTCTTGTTTTCCATCCAGGCTGAGGCTCTTACACAAAATTGTCTGTTCTGCCCTTTATAATGTATCAGGGATTTAAAATATCCTGTGTCCAGCTGGAGGTGATACACTGCCTGATTGATCCCTAAACGCTGCCATGGCACCATGAGCCACAACAGAAATATGCTGCTCAGGAAAAGGGGGGAAAAAGATTTTTCAACAAAGCAAGGCAGGCTATTCTGAGCCTCAAAGCTGAAAACTGCACGTCCCTCCTTATGTGCGTGGTTTGAATAATGCCACTGCTCGATGTGACAGAAATGACAACCCACAGACTGTCTGTTCAGTCTTTACAACACCACCACCAACCTTGCTGACCAGCTGTGAGGGCAGGAAAGAGGACCAGACCTTCCCCAGTTCATTTGAGTAACAAAACCAAGTATTTCTGTAAAGCCAAAGGATTGCTAGCACTGTCAGGAGGACTTGGCTTCCTAACATTCCCAGTTATTTTTGGCAGGAAACATTCTCTACATCCTCAACAGAGTAAAACCACCACCAAACCCCAGCTGTTTTACAAAACTGTCAGCAATGAAAGCCATACGCTTACCTTCCTTGTCGGTGAGCACCTCCATCCTGCCGCTGAACATGGCCTTGAGCATGGTGTCGTGCCTGGTGAGCACCTGCACCGTGGTGTAGTAGAGGGAGCCGCCGACGTTGAGCCGCACGTACTTGTTGCCCAGGCTGCCACCCTTCAGCCCGCTGGCCTTGGGCTTGTGGCCCGCGGCCGGGCACAGGGCGCTGCCCAGGCACGTGTCCCCCGACATGTCCTTCTGGAGGTAGATGACCACCCTGCAGCGCGTGGGCCGGGCCGGCCCCGCCGTGGTGCCGCGGTCACGCCTCAGTGCGCCAGGACAGCGGGGCAGGGGCCAGCATCACCTCGGGCTTGGCACGGCGAGGGCACAGTGAGGGCTCGGCACGGCGAGGGATCGGCACGGCGAGGGTTCAGCACGGCGAGGGATCAGCACGGCGAGGGCACAGCACGGCGAGGGATCAGCACGGCGAGGGATCGGCACGGCGAGGGCACAGCACGGCGAGGGCTCGGCACGGCGAGGGATCGGCACGGCGAGGGATCAGCACGGCGAGGGATCAGCACGGCGAGGG